TCTTTGTTGTCTGCTCGATTTCACATTGCAGAACCATCTCTGCAAAAGCCAGTTGCTGCAGGGTCACGCCAAGGTTTACGCCGTCCCTCCTCATCTGGAAAACCTTGGTGAGTGCCGTCTTGAAGGCTGGGGCGCCCCAAGGATCGTTGCCGCTCCGTCTCCGCGTTTTGTTCTCCTTCATCTCTGCTTGCATCTTGTTGCGAGTAGGGAGCTGGTGATCTGTTTGCTACGATCGCACAAACGGGATCCCTTTTTCAGCCCAGAACCAATGTTTCAGTTGCCATGTTATCTCTCCACGCACGTTTGTCATCATTCTGTTGCACTCCCCTATGACTGCTCGAATCCCGCACTCCGCTACATGTGATCGCAGTCCTTCCTCGGCGTTCTCGCCTACCAGTTTGGCCGTTGTTTGCAGCGCCGTGAAAAATTCATCCTCTGTTGGGTACAGAGTTGCGTCCTTTGCTGCTGAGAACGCAAAGGCTTTTGCGACCGCCCGGAACAGTCTGTCCTTCATTTTCTTCGAGAATATGCCGCTTTCTTGATTGCCTTGTTGCTGTCCTCCCCTGCTCGCACACACTTTTCTTTGCGAGTTCGTTCCATCAGCTGGAAGACACACATTACAACGTAAAAAATAATATTAAGAACTCCGCATTTCGCACCCATTTTCGCACCTGCCAAATTCGATAGGCCGTTTCAACTGTAAGTTCATCACAGCGACATCCTCGCAATAAGGAAATGTCATCACTTTGCGCCGTCACCACGTAATCGTTGTGCAAGAGGAGCAACTTCAGCACACTTTGTTTACCTTTTTTAACTGCGTTGTCGTGCCTCACTAGTTGTCTGTCAATGGAGGGCGTGTCGGCTGCGCCTCCCTCGCCGCTACTTTCGGGTTCCCTCGTGCGTCGCGTTCTTCCCGGAGATGGGGAACTCCCTCTGCCGTCCCCGCTTCTGTCGTCTTCGCCTGCCCCGTCACCGCCCTCGTCCTGCGCTGTGCCGTCGCTGCTCCTGCCGTCCTCGTCATCAGCGTCGTGAGTGTCGCGAGAATGCCCGTCGAAAGTTTGACTGTCACTTCCCTCGTCACTTGTTGCCTCGTTCTCCTCCCCGTCAGACTTTTCTTATATGGACTGGTCGTGTTCCTCTTCTGCTTCCTCTTGGGCCGCGTTGTGCACATCGTCCGAGGCTCTTAGATTGATCATCTCCACCATTCTGTCCTTTTTGTACATGATTCTCTTCTTTGTCCTGTGGTGCACCTTTGACATTCCGTCTTCCCGCGACCTCTTCTTGGGGGCCGTGGGTGGACGGTTCTCGACGCCGCTGGCACGGCTCCGTGGGGCAGGAGTCACAGGGGGTGACTCATTGCGTTCTTTCAGCTTTGAAATCCCCCTCTGACTTGATGGGAGAGAAACTTTTGATCCGTTTCTGCGGATGCTGGTCCGCTCCGTTTTTGCATTCTGGGATCTGTTTTTGCGATGCTCTCTCCTTTCTTTTTTCTTATCAGCCTTGCATTTCTTCCTCCCCTTGTCCCTCTTTCCCACGCCCTTCAAAGACCTGCACAGATCCTCGTATTTTGGCTTTGGAGCCATGACCCTTTTTTCCCCACATACATCAAAGTGGAATACGAACAACAATTGCGTCAGCATTGTCGTGCGTCGATCCATACACCCCTGAAGTGTAATGGCCGCATTGAGAGAGAGAGAGAGAGAGAGAGAGAGAGAGAGAGAGAGAGAAGAAGAAAAAAAAAAAATGGTTGTTGGCAATGTGAGGTGGGGAGAGAGAGAGAGAGAGAGAGAGAGAGAGGCGGTACAGCGATGTCATTTAAGTTACCATACACCCCTAAAGATCTTATTGTTGATACTGCGATGTCATTTAAGTTACCAACCTCTTTGTGCGTCAGAATGACTGTATCCGTATTGTCAGGCGGTACAGGTTCGCATAGTCACAGTAACAGAAAAATAGCGAGCAAAGAAAAACTTCGAACATGTCCCCGGCCATCACCGCGAGAAGGTTGGCTACTGCGGGCCAATCAACTGGTGAAGCCACCGGTTTTTATGTAACAAATGCCCGGAGTAGTGAACTTTCCTTGCATCGTCCTTTGACGACCTCAACGGTCAAGCCAACGGTCAATTCGTTGTCATCATTAATGTCAGTCTGCTCTTCTTTCGTTCTCGTCATGTCCCCGACTTTCGCTTTTCCCTTAGTGCTTCGATTATCAACTGGGGAGACTTTGCTTTACCCTCTGTCATTATATCGTACATTTCCGAGTACCAAGGGTCCCTCAACATTTTCTGTCACCTCTTTGCTGACCTCTCACTGGTCAATGGCAACAACAGTTCTCTTGCCACCTCTCTACGGTGCTGTTCGTCTTTATGTTCCATCCTTGGACCGATGACCGGTTCCGTACCCACATATGGGCACTTTGCGCCGCCACCACACGTGTTACTTTTTTGTGACTCTGTCATCCTCGCTCGGCTTCTTTTATCTGCACCCTGTTGTTCAGTGTTCTGTGTCGCTCCTTCCCGAACGTTGCGCGACGTCGTAAGTTTTTGTTCCTGTTCACACGTGTCGGTCNTGGCTTTGGAGTCATGACCCTTTTTCCCCCACATACATCAAAGTGGAATACGAACAACAACTGACTCTTTTTTCCCCACATACATCAAAGTGGAATGCGAACAACAACTGCGTCAACAATGTCGTGCGTCGATCCATACACCCCTGAAGTGTAATGGCCGCATTGAGTGAGAGAGAGAGAGAGAGAGAGAGAGAGAGAGAGAGGCACAACCAAGATCTTATTGTTGATACTGCGACGTCATTTAAGTTACCAACCTTTTTGTGCGTCATAATGATTGTATCCGTATTGTGAGGCGGCACGGGTTCGCATAGTCACAGTAACAAAAAAATAGCGAGCAAAGAAAAACTTCGAACATGTCCCCGACCATCACCGCGAGAAGGTTGGCTACTGCAAGCCAATCAACTGGTGAAGTCACCGATTTTTATGTAACAAATGCCCGTGGTAGTGAACTTTCCTCGCATCGTCCTTTGACGACCTGAACGGTCAAGCCAACGGTCAATTCGTCGTCGTCATTAATGTCAGTCTGCTTTTCTCTCATTCTTGTTATGTCCCCGACTTTCGCTTTTCCCTTAGTGCTTCGATTATCAACTGGGGAGACTTTGCTTCACCCTCTGTCATTATATCGTACATTTCCGAGTACAAAGGGTCCCTCAACATTTTCTGCCACCTCTTTGCTGACCTCTCACTGGTCAATGGCAACAACGGTTCGCTTGCCCCTCTCTACAGTGCTGTTCGTCTTTATTTTTCATCCTTGAACCGATGACCGGTTCCGTACCCACATATGAGCACTTCGCGCCGCCACCACACGTGTTACTTTTTTGTGACTCTGTCATCCTCGCTCGACTTCTCTTACCTGCACCCTGTTGTTCAGTGTTCTGTGTCGCTCCTTCCTGAACGCTGCGCGACGTCGTAAGTTTCTGTTCCTATTCACACTTGTCGGTCAAATTGGAATGACACAGACGATTTGTTAATTTTTTTAACAACGTCAAATCGTTTTTATAGGATACTTCGGAGAGAGAGAGAGAGAGAGAGAGAGAGAGAGAGAGAGAGAGAGAGAGAGAGAGAGAGGGAGGKTGGGTACTGCGTGCCAAAACTGAAACGACTATCACTGTTGACCACGTAAATGTCACGCAGTAGCAAACTTTTGGGGACACTTTCGTCTCACATGTGGTTTTTACCGCTTCATAAGTTTGGTCACATTTGACATGATATTTCTCAACAAATAACAGAAAGAAAGAGACGAATGTTCTCTCTTGTTCCCCTATACTTTGGAAGAAACAACATGATTGTCCCGTGGCGACGACAGATAGAAACACACTCTCTCTCTCTCTCTCTCTCTCTCTCTCTCTCTCTCTCTTAGCAAACATAGAAACTTAGTTTGCATTTGTTTCTTCTATAATATGTACTTGTTCAAATAAAAATAGTCCTCACGCTGTTTTGCATGCTGCTTCGATCCCCATTGTGGTTTAGAGAAGCGCGAAACAATGTGAACTATGTCTACAATAATGTCGGTCGAAACGATGCTACTGTGTTGATGTCCATTCAACTTCTCCCACTTCAATTTCTTGCAACCTGTCATGTCTTGCCGTTCACTGTCGACCTCCTTGTACCATTGCACAAATCCGCAGTTGTGTTCCATATTACCGTTGTCCGCGAGTGCGTCCATGACAAAAAACATGGCTACTGATGCAAACCATGTGCATTCGTTGTCTGCTCTAATTGCGACGTCACTGCGCACTGGTCTTCCATGGAACTGTGGCGACGCTCTTGCAGTTTGAACAAGTATGCCCCTATTCCGTCTTGTACGCAAGCGATGGCCAGGTGTGTCCATGTGTGTATAAGCAGATCGTCAGAAGGAGGTTGACAACCATTCTCCACCATGTATGTCGTAAGCGCAGCTCGAATATCGTGTCTGCAAGGAAGCTCTTCAAGTATCTTACACGCGTGGTTGTCAATGCCTTCTCCCTCGTGTATATACTCGTCATCGATGTCGAACCACCGCAGTTGCAGCATTGCCGTGTCGCGTAGTGCGAGGGTGTTCATTCCGGTGGCTATATAGTCTGTCACGGACGACCGGTTCTCAACCGTTCTCTTCCTCCGTTTCCTCACGATCCCGATCTCTTCGCGCAACGCCAATGACCGGCGCACATGGTTTACCATATGGGTTGAAGCTTTCCGCTTATTTGATGACAGATATGGCTGTTTGCAGAATTTCCTGTGGTGATGCTCCCAAACATCTGCCGCGAAGGTGTCGGGGACACCGGATCGCTCAATACACGTTGTCAGATGCATGAGATCGTGCAACTTGGGGAGTTTCCATGTTGATGGTTGATATTTTCCTAATTTTCCTTTGATGGTCGTTACGAAGCCTGTGATCAAAGCGTCACATTCATCGAGCGAACCACGACTGTGTGTTGTACACCGAAACACTCGTATGTACATTTCCATCAGTTTCACAAAATAAACGGTAATGCCCTTGCCTGTCGAGCGCGGTATAATATTAGAAATAAGGAACACATACACTGTCATCACAGACCGGTTTTGCTTCGCCTCGAATCGCCCCTCCCTCGAAAAAAAGTCGCTGCCAGTGGCTACCGGCAACACAAGTTGGGGGTATGTTCGCGAGCATCTCTCACTAACGCTTTGCAACCTTGCATCTAGTTCCTTCAGGATCTCTGTTTGCGGTAAGTGCGGCAACTTCTCAAAGGTTGCGGTCTTGAATGCGTCAATCATGTGCAGGAATATGCCGTGCTCGATTGTGTGCATACGGTCTGGTTGCAATGCCAGGTGGTAGTCCAACTGATGATCGTCACCATTGGGGCCCCTGTAGAACCCCCAAAGGCCGTTCTGTTGAACATGCCTATGCATGTTCAACTCGGACATTCGTTCTTCCACTGCACGGCGAAGGTTGATGTCGTCGGTGGTATACACATCTGGTGTCAGGTGTGTTTCTAGCGTCTGTGATCTCCTGCAGTCTGTGAAATCGGCTACGACATCAAAATCGTTTTTGGACACGGTGCATGTCGGACATACACCAAACTTCACAGTTGCAATCGCACATCATTCGGGGTAGTCCTGGATATAGTTGAGGAGGAAAGGGTGGACAATTATGTCCCCGAATCGCATTGTTGGTATCATTATTCCGTCATGAGATGCCTCCTTCTCAGACTGCAACACCACTGAAAGGGCCTTGTGCAAAAAATGATGGCCTTTCGCTTTCTGAATGCGGTGGACTGCAGACCCCATCCTTTGTCACGCGGACGATGATGAAGCACATGAAGATAGGCCAGCAGTGTGGCTTCGGATGCGTGGTCGGCTAGTGACATCATCAGAGGGTACGCTGTCTGTTTTTGACGACCGTCTGTATGTGTCTTGTCGGATTACAATGAAAGAGGGATAACATAACGTGGATTACCATTCTCGTCCACGCCTTTGTCCGCTCGAATGATCGACTGGATGTGATAACTTAGCGCCCCGCTATGTGGGCCGGATATACTGAGGTGCTCTGACGGTGGAGACACTTCTAGAGAAGACACCGTCTCGCATTTCTGTAATGGGATATGAAAAATTGACAGAAATGTCGTTCGCCAGTTGCGGTGCCACAAGATGGCGTGCGCATCCCGTGGCTAATCGTCACAACGTAGATCCAACTCTTTCCATCCATCAGCGTCTGCTAGACTCCCTGCCTATGTCAAACACTCTCGACTATTATGATACTCAATGTCTCTCGTGCAAAATCTTGGGTCCGTGAGAAGTGACAAGAGAGCATCTATGTCGCTCTGCGATATACCGACGCCGCCCCTGGCGAAGAAAATAAGTGCCGCTAGCTTGCGAGAGCTATCAAAAGATTCGATAGGCTGCGGTTGCTGCTCTTCGAATGTCCCGCCCTCGCCGTCTACATTCTCGGGGGCCCCGACGTCCTCGCTCTCATCGCTCACGAGATTCACTGCACCTATATTTGATGCTCCGGCGTCATCGACCACACCCATCTCCTGGCCATGTGTTCTTTCGTCCGCCACGGCCGGGTATGCCCTCGCACGATGTGAGTTCAAAGTTCGAAATGACATGAAAGTCCTGCCACTGTCGCACACCCGTGGACCGTTGTCCATTTTCTGTGTGCGCAGTGCATTCCAAAAACAAACAGAGCGGTGCGGACAGTGTTTTCATTAGCATTTTGTAGATTGGTTCAGGTTGTTAGAATTATAAGTTGCAGAGCATATTTTGTTATATTGTGTAAGTGTCGCACATCCTCTTCTCTGTAAGAAAGAGATAGAGAGGAAGTACTGATTTTTGGTACGAATGGTATGTGTCGCTGATCCCAATTGACAAAGATTAGTAGTCAACCGTGCGACACGATAATTTATATGCCATGACAGGTTCTATGGTCGTGCACGAAAAGACAACGACTTACGCATGGTACACGATATATGACACAACATTCATCACCACGGTTTTGCGGCTGGCCAAGTTCGTAACTATCCATCCACGACGTTTGTGATTGTGGTATGTGTTTTCCATGTCCGCGTGAAAATGATTGCACCTCGGCACCTCAGCCGACCTCCGCACAAACTTCAAAAACATTTCACAACCTACTATATTTGAATTTAAATTACAGAGAATGCAAAAAAAAAACACAACATACACACATTGGTCATCACAGGGGGTTTGATGTGTCTCACGTACTCCAAAAGACAACAAATTATGACATACATCGTAACAATCATCAAATGATTGAAATATTGTTCAATCCTGTGTCTGCACGTTGTAGTGAACTCTCTCTCTCTTGGAGAGGCAAACAACAGACAGATATATATATATTTATATATATATATATAGAGATAGATAGATAGATAGATAGATAGATAGATAGATAGATAGATAGATAGAGAGAGAGAGAGAGAGAGAGAGAGAGAGAGAGAGAGAGAGAGAGAGAGAGA